GGTGGTTAGCTAGAAAACAGAATCAGGAAGTCTTCAGTGAACATTTATGCTAAGGAAAACTATAATCAAAACATTATAATAACTTCTGAAAACTGAAAAAACAATGTGTGTTTAATGACATGGGGAAATACCAAAGCAGGAAAAATGTGGGATGCAAAACTTTTCCTATTAATTCCTTCTAATTTTCTCTCTCTCTCATATATGACTGGAAAATAATGTACACCAAAGTGGATTACTTTCATAAGCAGTGAAAATCAATATTTTAAAAATGATTAAATTACATTAACAAATCCCAAATTCCTCCCAATGGGCCATTAAATTCATTAGTGTCTATTAATCTGATCAAGCCAGCTGAGCATGGGACACTGTCCTCCTTCACCAGTTCCTTTGTGTCTCTCCCACAGCTACTCACTTTCCAAAGGATGCCCTTGCCTGACAATGGACTACAGTTGAAGAATGAATTCATCCTTTGGCTTTCCTCTAGAACCACCAGTACCCCACTTCTGAACACAGACCAAGACAACTCTAGCTGCTACAAACATTCTCTCTTGTAAGCTAGAGGAAAAGAGTCATGGAGAGGTTGAAGGTGGAGGGGGAAGCGTGGAGGAGCCCATGTTTTCTCTTTTGTTACTGGATTTCCTCATCAACAGATACACCACACGTCACACTCATAGCATGTACAATCTCTACTCTTACTGCAGGTAAATTTTGCAGAGATTCTAAGAGAATAAAGGCAATAGAAATCATGATCTTATTAGTTTTGATATTCCAACCAATTCAGGAAGAGATTATTGTGCCTAAATTAATGTGTAAATGATTCTAAACAAAAGGGGGTCTTATCGCCATCACAGGCATGAATAGTTAATTATAATCTATCCATACTGACAGACAGAATATTAGCCAATGTGCTTCCCTCCCATGACTGGGAAATTATGGTAGCTGCAAGGCCTCTCTTTTACCTACCCATGTGTCGGGCCTCTCCAGACATGGCATAAGCCTTGGCTAGTAACGCGCTCGCCTCTGCAGTTTGGGGGCTGACTTCAGTGAACAAAGAAACACAGATAGAATGGGCCTGGAACAGAGAAAATCATAAGATAAGTACCCAAATGACGGTGATTCACTGTAGATTTTCTAGTAGTTCTCACAGGATTGTTAGCTGATTGAGAGCCAATACATATCTAACCATGAAGTTACATGAGAAATAAGTTTGAGTCCCAGTTCTGTGAGTCTTGAACAAGTAATTGCATCTTCATATGCAGAAGGAATATATAGTTTCCATGGATTACGGTTTGGGAAAGATTAAATGAGATGGTGCATGCAAAACATTGGGCATTACATGGTAAGTTCTCAATAAATGTTAGCTATTATTATTTTTTTATGAGGTTTCATAGCAAAACTAAAACCATAACTTTAACTCAGCCTCTCAAAGGTTCAGTATCAAAGGAAGTTAGATAGAGTAGCTATGAGATTCTAGAACCATACTGCGTGAGTTCCATATTAGCTTGGCCACTTACTATGATACAAGGCAAGTCATTAACTTCTTTAAATACAAAACAGGGATTTGTTACAGGTAGTTGTTGTCAAGAGTAAATTAATTAATGTATGTAAAGTATTCAGAAAACCACCTGGAATGTAATAAGCACTAGGGAAGTATAGATATTATTATTATCGTTATTATTTACACTAAAATGGAAGGAGTCACTTTGGAGGGGTAGAGAAGAGAGAAAACTCCTAGTCCACACCACCCACCAGCTGCGCTTCGTATTTCAGGAGGTGTTTTGGGGAGCTCCAGAGACCATCAGACATTTTGGAGCTAAGACACAATGCAAAGCTGTTGAGAGTACAGGCTCCGGGGTCAAATTTTCTTAATTTTAATCCATGCTCTACCGCTTGTTCGCTACCCAACTTCAACTGTATTAGCTATAACTCTCTGTGCTTCAGTTTCCACATCCTTAAAATGAGATAAAATGATACTGGTGCCTGTTTCACAGGGTTATTGACATGGATTAAATGAGCACACCCTCAAGTGCCCATAGTAAAAGCATTCCATAAACGTGAACCATTATTTTTGTTGTTATTGAGAAACACTAATTACTTATTGTTTTATCCATTCTGATCTGACCACTGGTTTAAAAAAGTCTTGGACACAAAATGGGGCGGGCTTTCTCTGTAAGCAGTGGACTCCCCGCATTCAGGGCAGCTTCCACTAACATTTCTCCATGGTGCGACGTTAATAACCTTGAGTTTTGATTTGTCTGCAGTGCCCTATCTTCAGTATCAGACTGTTTTCACATATACTGCTGGATTGCATTGCACTGTTTCTGTGACATAGGAAATCCAATATATTGATCTGTTTTTTTGCTATGGGAAATACCTGAAGCCACAAGCAGGGTTCTCATTTGAGGGGAGAGGTGAATTTAACTAGCAATGTCAAGGGACGATTCCAGTCCATGATATGTAAAAGTACCCTCAACTGTTTGTATTATGACAGACACAACATTCCTTCTTATGTTTTGTTTTCCCTTGGGCAGGTGTCAAATTAGTTGCCTCCGAGCAAAACACCCTTTTGTTAGTTTAACCTTAGACTTGGAAATAAAACTAGCTAGACTAGCTTAGAAGAC